GAGAGAGAGGGACAGAGAATCCAAAGCAGTCTCTGCGCTGCCAGCAGCAAGCCTGATGTGGGGCTTGAACTCACGAACCATGAGATCATGACCTGGGGCGAAGTCAGACGCTCAACCAACTGAGCGTCCTATCTTTCGAGCAGAGGCTGGGCATCATCTTGCATCTCCCCCCCTCCCCCACCACTTCCAATCACCAATCCCGTTGCATCTCTCAAACCTGCCTGCCTCTTCCCATCCTGACACCCTTCCACTGGCCCAGGCCACCTCAGTCCATCCTCCACTCTGTCACCAAAGTGACCTTCCAAAAGCATTAAACCAACCAGGTCGTTCCCCAGTTCACAACACTCCTCACGTATCTTTACAGGACAGTCTAAACCGCATGACCCGGCACATATGGCCCTTGGCTAACTAGCCCTGGCTTCCTGGTCCAGCTGCATCTCCCAACACCCCCTCCTCCCTCGTATCCCTGCCCGGCTGAACCCCCGCTGCTGCCCAGCCTGCCAGGCTCTCACATGCACATGATTCCTTCCTGTCTGGGATGTCCTCTCTGCTCTGTCCCTCTGTATATCCCCAGTGGCCTCTCCTCATGCTCCCACACTGAGCTCCACTGTCACCTTCCCTTAGAAGTCTTCCCTGACCCCCATACAGAATTGGACATTTCTCGGACATACTTTTGATAGCTTACTTGGGCTGCATTGTAAATAAATGTTTCTGAGTATGTCTCCTGACCCATGAGCTCTTAATGTCAAGCAGGGGCCTGGTGTGAACAGGTTGCTCAGTATGTATTTGATGAATACGTGAATGAGCAAATAGAAGGGAGGAATGACAAATGACGAATATCAGTAGTTCTGGCACCAGAGAATAAAGAAAGAAGATGGCAAAGCCCTGAAACTGTATCTATGATAAAAGAATGGGGCGCCTGGGTGGCTCAGTCGCTTGGGCATCCGACTTTGGCTCAGGTCATGATCTCACGATCCGTGAGTTCGAGCCCCGCGTCAGGCTCTGTGCTGACAGCTCAGAGCCTGGAGCCTGTTTCCGATTCTGTGTCTCCCTCTCTCTGACCCTCCCCCGTTCATGCTCTGTCTCTCTCTGTCTCAAAAATGAATAAATGTTAAAAAAAAATTTTTTTAAAGAGAAACATTCTTCTCCACAGAAGCATCCTTTTGTGTTAGATATCCCTACAAAGTACCATTATTTAAAAAACAAACAAATGTACCCCACTGTGCATCTAGCCCCTCTTAAGGCATAATATCCACTGTGCCTAGGAAAGCACCTCACCCAGAATTTTTCTTAGATTTAGTTTTTTGCTAGCTAACAATGACACACGGAAGCCAAACTGACCAAGGCCACATAAAGGCACAAGACTAGAAATATTTGACAGGGACTGGCTTAACTGGTTTTGTACTGAATGATTGATTTGTCTGTCTTATTTTCCAGCCACAGTCTAATCTGTGATTACACTCCAGGACACCTTTAGTTATGCCTTGCCTTCTCCCACAAGCCTGTAAAGAATCTCATGAAGGCTATCTAATACTGTAAGATTTTCCTTTATAATCAGGAAAATTAGGTGAAGAGAACGCCAGGATAAGAACATAAGCTGGAAGCCAGAGTGAGACGAGGAACAAGATATATGCCACCAAGTCTTAGCCAAGCTGTTTGAAACATATTTAGCTCTGAGATTCCCAGAAGCCTTGGCAAGGAAGGAAACAGGAAGAGTTCCACGAGGAGGAAAGCAATCCAAGCACACTGGAGGCTGCATGGGAGCACTGGCGCGAGAAGGAAGTTTCTTCCGTGGTTCCTTGAAAACACGAACATCACTCACAACAACATGTGTTCACTAATACAGCAATGAATCACAGGGGCTATTTCTTAGACTCTCCCTCGGTATAAGGGAAGAGTCTCCAACAAAGCCCAGTGGCCAAGGAGTAGGATCCTTCTCTTCCCTTTGAGCAAACTGTGATTCACCTCGTGGAGCCTGCTCAGGAGCTGAAAGGATACCTGCCCTTCCAGGAGGGGGAGGGTCTCTAATAAGACTCTACAGGCAGAGGGCCAGGCAGTGGGGCCTCGTGGCTCTGCAGTCAGGCAGACCTGGGCTCTGATCACAGCTCTGCCACCTACCAGCTGTGTGACCTCAGACAAGTCACTTCACCCTCCCTGAGCCTCAATTTCTCATTCATAAAATGGGGTGAGAATATCCACGTTGCAGACTTCTAGTAAATATTAGAGCTAAGATACACAAAGTGATGGGAACATAGAGCCCCTCCCCTGCCCCCAAATGGTGGCTGTTAATGTTATTTAATTAGTCCAGGATGTATACACTGTTCCTAACAAAGCATATTTTCTTCCCACTGGTGTAGGGGCAAGAAAACTTGCGTGCTGATTCTCTGTGTATTTACTTGGAGTGTAAATACTGTGTTCCAGTGACCAACGTGAAATGCTGGTGGCAGGGATCCACCGTGAGGGCAGAAATTCAGCATTACCTGCAGCAGCTGGACAGGACTGGGCTCCTGGCTGATCCTCCAGACCCTGCCGGAGAGTTTGTTCATGATGTCTATTTGCTCTCCACAAGACTCGATTTGCTCCCTGTACACCTGGAGGGTAAGCTGCATGTTTTTATCAATGAATTTCTTTGCCAGCACTTCCTCTTCATCAAGTAGCAATCTGAGTTCAGTGAATTTTCCCGTCAGCCAGGTTTTACTCGACTCTGCATGAGCCTAAAAAGAAACCAGTTACAGATGACATCATTGCCAACCAGGAAATCCGGAATAGTCAACATGAAAAAAATTGTAACTTCTAAAACGTGAGTTCAGCAAGGTGGCTGGGCAAGTAGAAGATCAGCTTGTTAAAACTCAAGCTTTCCAAAGTGCCAGCTATCACCAATTGGAAAATACATGGGGAAATAAAGATGGTCGGGGAAAAAAAAATAGGACAACACCTAAAAATAAATCTAACAAAAATTGTAATGACTACATAAAGAGAAGAATAAAATTGTATTGGAAGACATTTAAAAAACAAAACAAAACACCAAACCTCTGAATGTGTAGAACAAAAAACCATTATCTGTGGCTAGAGATGCTACTTGTCTCCAAATTGGTCTACAAATTCACTGTAATCCCAAAGTCTTAATTAACAATGCAGATTAAACAAGTATTAAATTATGGTAGGGAAGAATAAGCACAAGAAAAGCCAAAAATTTTTAAAAAGATCAATGAAGGATGAGCTGCCTTATTAAATATGAAAACAAGGGTGCCTGGGTGGCTCAGCAGGTTAGGTGGTCTGACTTCCACTCAGGTCATGATCTCACAGTTCATAGATTCAAGCCCCGTGTCAGGCTCTGTGCTGACAGCTCGGAGCCTGAGGCCTAGTTCAGATTCTTTGTCTCCCTTCCCCACTTGTGCTCTCTCTGTCTCTCAAAAATAAATAAAAACATTAAAACAATTTTTTTTTCAACGTTTATTTATTTTTGGGACAGAGAGAGACAGAGCATGAACAGGGGAGGGTCAGAGAGAGAGGGAGACACAGAATCGGAAACAGGCTCCAGGCTCTGAGCCATCAGCCCAGAGCCCGACGTGGGGCTCGAACTCACGGACCGCGAGATCGTGACCTGGCTGAAGTCGGCCGCTTAACCGACTGCGCCACCCAGGCGCCCCTAAAACAATTTTTAAAAAAAGTGAAAATTTTCCTAAGAGGGAAGGTTCTGTACAACCACATGACAAGTAACAAACTACACAGGTTTATTATCCATAACTTATAGTAAAAAAAAGAAATCATTTGATTGAAAATGGACCAAATACATGCCAGTGCCAATAACTGTATGAAGAGGTACTCAGCCTCTCAAACAATCAAGGAAGTGAGCAATGTAAGCAGAAAATATTTTCTGGCCATCAGACTGGAGGAATCTTAACTGATGGACAATAGCAGAGTCTGAAATGGTGTGGGGAGTAGGCACTCACATACATGGTGGGTGGTAGCATCTGTTGGCAATGCACTTTTAGGGCAATGTGACAATATCCATATTTTAAATGCATATGTCCTTTGATGCAGCAATTCCTCTTGCAGGAATTGATCCTAGAAAACATTTTCACATGTGCATGAAGGTTTGTGTACCAAGATGCTCATACAGCATTGTCGGTGATAAAGTTGGGCAAAATTTTCATTTTGGGAAATACATGTATGTTTATTATACACATTATGAGGCATTCATGCAACGATAATATGTAGTGATTAAAAAGAATGCAGTGTTCTGATACGTGCTACAATTGGATGACCCGGGAAGATATGTTAAGTGAAATAAGCCAGACACAAAAGGACAAATATTGTATGATTTCCTTTCACAAAATATCCACAATACACCAGTTCACAGAGACAGGAAATAGATTAGAGTTTGCCAGGGGCTGTTGGGAAGGGAAGTATTGCTTATTGGTTAGAGTTTATATTTAAGATAGTGAAAACTTTTTGGAAACAGATAGTGGTTATGAGTGTACAACACTGTAAATGCAGTTAGTCCCACTGAATTTTACACTTAAAAATGGCTAAAATCATAACTTTTATGTTATGTATATTTTAACACACACACACACACACACACACACACACACACACACACACACACCCTGCACAAAGAATTCAGGGGATCCATATGTCCTGGCACTGAAAACTCTCCAAGACACCACATGAAAAAGAGCAAGTTACACAATAATATATACAGGATGGTCCTATTTATATAAAAGATAACTAAATAAAAATTATATATGGATACAGGTATGCCTGCTTTCTGCAAGTCTGCGTTAGTCCACTTTGACCTTACGAAATCTACATTAGTGTGGTAATAGTTTTTGTCCCAAAAGTGAAAACGTTCTTCAGATTTCTTTTGGTTAGAAAACAGGCATTAATGTAGGTCTTTTGTAAAAGTGAAGTGGTTTTACTCAAACGTTTGAAAAGCGGGAGATGCTCTTTACTTTATGCCATTTCTACCTACAGAATGTTTCACAGAACACTCTACTTTTGGATAGCAGGGGAAACCTGTATAGCCATCTATATGTCTGCAAGTGCATTCCAATGTCTGTTAGTTCTGGTCATGTTTGGGAAGAGGTGTGAAGATTAGGGGGATGGCGAAGAGGAACTCCCACTTTGTAGTTTCTATAGTTCTATACTATATTCTAATATACTATGATTAACATTTAAAAAAATGAACATGTGTTCATACACTACTAGTACAATTAAAAGATAAAACAGAAAATCATTAAAAAAAAATAAAAGCAAAACATAGGCCTCTTTCCTACACCCAACAGAATAGCGGCCCTTGGTACTTGGGGAGGCACCGGAGGTGGGGGGGATGCGGTGTGGACAGGCTCCCCGTGATGTCATGTTCTCTTAGTGGGGCAGGAACATGTGGTTTGGCATGATCTGTGGGATGAGTTCCTGAAGTCCCGTTTCCTATACAGTGCTCTAGGCAGTGGTTAGGTTCTGAGGCTAGCTTATACCAACCATATGCAACATAGGTTAAATTGCCATTGGGCTAGCCTGGGAATTAGCCTACACTTACAACAGGGTTTCTATGGGCCAGTGAACCTGGACACAAATATATCTCTACTGAATGACCCAAATGAAGGAAAGAAAATGTGTTCCAAACTCTTGATTTATAAACACATTTTGGAGGCAATGTAAGTAATTGGAAGACCTTTCTATAGAAACTAAGAGAGCAAATAATTTCCCGATGAAGCTATGCTCCAAGCAGTTTCTATAGCTCTAATTTTTTTTAAAGATTTTTTTATAAGTAATCTCCCATCCAACGTGGGGCTCGAACTTAAACCCCGAGATCAAGAGTCACATGCTCTAACAACTAAGCCAGCCAGATGCCCTCTAAAACTCTACTTTATAAACACATTGTTATAACTCTCACTCCAGGAATAACTGTTTGAAAACATCCACAAGAAAACTTATTTTTTTATTTTTTAAAGTTTTTTTTTTTTTTAAGTTTATTTATTTATTTTGAAAGGGTGGGGAGGGGCACAGGGAGAGAGAATCCCAAGCAGGCTCTACCCTGCCAGCATGGAGCCCAATGAGGGCCTAGAACTTGTGAACCACAAGATCATGACCTGAGCCAAAACCAAGAGTCAGATGCTTAACCAATTGAACCACCCAGGCACCCCTCTATAAGAAAACTTAAGGTGTAAGCAGATGAGGCTGATTATGCAAATGGTTAAAAAGAATTTGGCTCAGGTCATGATCCCAGGGCTGTGGGATTGAGCCCTGAGTCAGGCCCCGTGCCAAGTGTGGAGTCTGCTTGAGATTCTCTCTCTCCCTCTGCCCCTCTCCCCAACTCATGTTGTCTCTCTGAAAAAAAAAAAAAAAAAAAAAAAAAAAAGAACAAGAGAGACAGAGTGAGAGAGAGAGACACACAAAGACTGGGAGGGAGAGGGAGAGAAGTGGGAGGGAATTCTGGCAAGGAGATAAGGAAGTATGTGTCTGGTTTGGGCCATGTTGGTTCAAAGTGAAACTGTAGCTCGCACTGGAGCGGGTGGGGCTGGGTGAGCGCCTGACAGTCTAGTTGGGAAGGTAACAGGCTGGGGAGGGAAGGCACTTGGGCAGTGATGAAGCGCACTCATGGGAGGGTGGGGGATTTTGCACATGGAGTGCTGGCTGCTATGTGACTCCATCTCTGCCCAGGGCCCTGGAGGCCTGTCTGGGTCCCGTGGAGGGTGAGGAGCCTGTGAGGAAAACGGAAAGAGCTGTTTTGCTGATAATTCAGTAGGACTTTGGACAATGCTTCTATGGGCACCTGTCAGGGGCATCCCACTGGGGAAGGCAGGCGTGCTCTCCACCCCTGCCCTCTCCACTACGCCGTCCCGACCACTCTGATATGTGGCAGTGGCTTGCAGGAAGAAGCAGAGGGGAGGCCATGCTCAGCAGGGGTGGCAGAGACCGGTGGCATCGTCAGTGTCAACAGCAGCATGGCTGAGTCTACATCTTCCCGTTCCCTCTCTGGCAAAGGCCGCTTTCTGTCACATCACTGGTCCCCTGACTCTAATCTGTGGTTCAGGCTCTGCAGCTCTGTGGGTCACAGGGAAAGGCATAAAGCCAGGAATGGAGGCTGTTTATTTCCCTGCCCAGGGAGCCAGTCTAGGCCCATGTGACTCAGGTCCATTTCCTGTCCTTCCCCCAGCACTACTCCAGAGGGAGAGGGGCTGACTCCTGGATTTCTAGGATCTTCCTTCAGGCTGGGTCTGACCAATGGGAGGAGGGACTAGAAGGAGGCAAGAGAAGGCAGCAGCCAGGGTGTCCCTCCCACCAGGGTGGTTTTTCCACAAGAAGGTGTATTCCTGCATCCCTTCTACCCTCCAGCTTCCACAGGACAGGCCCACTCTGGTTCCAGTTCCTGCAAAGGTATCTTGGCCCCTGCCCCCGGTTATCCCATCTTTTCCCTTGGCCTTGCCAGCCAGATATAAAGGTGCCTCCTGCTGATGCTACTGCCTCGCTGCCCCCTGGCTGGTTTCTCCACCTTTCCCACGCTGGCCTCCATTCCCTGCATTCATCCCCTCGAAGTGGCTTCTGTCTTCCTGGATGGGCCTTGATGGATACAGCTGTGGCCCCAGGTCCACCTCTGCCTTCCTGTGTGACTGGTGGTAAGTCACTTCTCTTCCTGGGCGGCCCCATCTCCAAGGGCCTTTCAGCTCTGGAAGTCTGTGCCCATCCTAACTTCCTACCTAGGTCT